GGGAAGACTAATATTTAGGCAATACAGACTCAATCACATAAATATGGAATTGAATTGTTCAAACTATGTTCTACCGAAGGGCATACATGGTCCGCTGAAATATATGCTGGACAAAGTACTAGTGGAATCAGGCAAGTCGGCATAGAAAGACGTTTGCACTGAGCGTACTTACAAACAAATTGTTAGATGAATGGTATACTTTATTTGTTAATAATTTTTATACCAGTTATGAGCTAACACTTAAATTTTTGAATTTCAAAACACATGTCGTTGGAACATGTGTACGTCACAACAAGAAATTTATGCCAAAATACGTTATCTCTTACCCATTAAAAAGAGGTGAGATGATATCACGGAAAAATAATGGCATTGTGGTACTAAAATGGAGAGATGTCCATGATGTCAGAATATTGTCAACAAAACATGCAACCATTATGGTATCAAATTCGAATTCCTTCACTCATCGCGGTCGTGAAAATGAAACGTTTAGTAGTAACAGCTTACAATAATGGAAACTCTGGCATAGACAGAAGCGACCAAATGGTATCATATGTAACAACAATACGGAAAAGCATCAAATGGCATCGGAAATTGGCAATACATTTACTTGTAGGGACCTCCTATAGTAAATGCACATGTGGCATATCAAATAGCAACAAATAAAAAAATGAAAATGAGAAAGTTCTGGGAACTTTTAGTTGGAGAATGGTTGCACTTGAAAAATATTAGGTTTAGCAATGAGGAGAAAAAAACAAAAGAGGCGTCTCACCACTTACAAGTTACCTCGTAAAAATCCGCAGGGTAAAAATATAAGAAGGATGTGCGTTCTCTGTTACCAAAGGAAGAGATAAATTCTTGAACGTCAGGAAGCGAAAAAAATTTTTAAAATTTTTTAAAAAGACTGCAACATATTGTTCTAATTGTCTCAAATTACCTCAAATGTATGTTTTAATAAATATCATACTAAGCAATAATGTTATTATATAATGTTATTTATTACTTATTATTTTAAATATTTTATATATAGTATATGTATATTTTAATTTTATTTTATATGTTTTTATTATTTTGTGTATTTTATATTTATATGTGCTAATGCCATTAAATACTTTAAAAATCCTATTTAACGGACGAAAAAGAATGTAACCCATTTACGGGTTACGGGGCTCTTACGAAAACATAGTTGTAACCTACATCTGAGTTACGTGGCGTTCAACGTGTTAATAAACAAGATCAATGATGCATATTGTATAAATGAAACTTCAACCGTAAACAGAATTTCATAAATAGGTACAGTCCTTACGTAACTGACCACTTTGGACTTCGTAACTGACTAGCGCTTATCCCCCACCGATTCTTGAAATTGGGATTATTCTCACTCTATACTACTTTAGGAATGTGGCCGCGTGTAACGTAACACTTGCGCATACAAAACAAGCGATATATATGATATCGATATTGGTGCCTGGCATTGACGAACACTGACGCTCGTCTCTATTCTTTTTTTTCAAATCCTGGAATACACCTCCTTAATTGACCAGTTTCGGTCAGTTACGTGGGGACTGTATTATTTTTAGTTAACCACTTTGGTACTATCGTCGATTTTAGTCGACACCATCAGAAGAATATGGCCGATCGCCGACTTTAGAGATATATCGCGTTACACTTGGTTTGGCTGTGACTAATGCTACGCGGACAGGCGCCGTACCAAAGTGGTTGATAATTATTGAAAAGTAAACTTAATGAAAAAATAGCACTAAATTAAAATAATTAATTATGTGCAATTCCTGATCTAATAAGGGAACATACTGAACCCAGAATCGCCAATTTTGATGAAATTTGATATGAATGTAGTTTTCAATAAAATATTCGAGCTCGTATATTTTTATTGGCAGTGATTGATGTTAAAGGTGAAAACTACCCTCAAAGTTGGGGGTGCGGAACATATTTTGTTAAATATCTCGGAAATTATTGAAGATATCGTTTTTGTGCAAATTGATGAAATCAGTGTTTTTTAACGACGAATTTAATACCGTTTTGCAAAAAAACCTTTTGTTTGAATAATATATTTAAAAAACACATTTTTGATAATTTTTTCCTAGTAAATGTTAACAAATTTTTTTGGAATATTTGTTTACAAATATTATATATTCCAATACAAATTACGGATAAAATAGAATCTTGATTTTTTCGTTGTAAAAGAAACTCATTATTTTCAAATCTTTCTCGCTGGACGTGCAAAACAGGATGTATACTGGAATTGTTCTCTGTTCGTAAACATGTTTTAAAATGTTAAATGTCAATATGTTTTAGTTCTGAAAAAAATTATTGATTTTATTGTTCAGTACTTACTGCTTTTTTAAAATCGACACGTTCAAGACATATTTAATCATTCAATGTAATCTTCGCAATAGTGGTACTCCTATATTCCTCGAAGAAATGGTATAAGCACAAATGTTTTTTACACCACGAACATTTTAAGGTAACAACTTAATCACAGTCAAAACAATGTATAATGTCTACGTAACTACATTTAAATCACGCGTATTTAAACAATTCCTGTATTACGGGTCGAATATCTTTTTGAAAACTACATTCTTGCCAAATTTCATCAAAATCGGTGATTCCAGGTTCAATATGTTCCCCAAGTCTAATATTCTTTTTTTTATGTATTCACTCTAGTTGTCACCTAGAATACTTCGTATTCAATCAACGAAGTATTATAAGTATGATAATTGAAATTGCATTTTCTTCAAACGTTACATTATTTTCTTAACATCCACGTCATTGTGTTTGCAACAAATATTATTTTTTACTAAAAATAAAGGCTATATCAATTGTTTTTTTATATGGTATAATATCATAAACGTTTATAGTTTGAGAAGAATATCAAACTATATCAAACAAAGAGTATCAAAGAGGAGATCACTCATTCTTATAATTTAGTATCTACATCTCTCCAATTATCGTTTTTAATTATATTAATCAATTTTTATTATTACTCTCAGTTATAAGCATTCATTTAAATACTAATCTACGAACTAGTAATTTTTTGTATTTCGTATATATAGTCAAATTTATTATTTAACTATAAAAAATAAAATAAGGGCGAGAGAAATACAACATATAATATGAAAAAGGTGCATATTGTATTGTTTTTTTTATGTCGCATTTTATGTTTTCCTTGAAAAATATATTGATTATTTCAAAATTTTCAAAAATTATTTTAAAAAATTCTTCTATTATTATGTATGTTTTTATAAATAAGTATATTTGTCTAAATAAGGAGGTTCTTCGTAATTATATATGCTTTGGGATACTGTTGAATAGAATATATGTATTATTCTAATTTCAAGATAAAAAACATCATAATTTTTATACATATTTATCTAAAACAAATCTGAGAAGCTTTAATATTACATAACATTTTTGAACATAATGCAGTTATAATTTTTTATAAAGTAAGAATGTCTTGAAAATTTAGATATTTATTCTGTGTTCATGAGTCACAAAAATCATTGATAATTTTAATAAAAGTACATATATACATTCAGAAATCTTAAACTTTCTTCATTGGAACAACAATGAAGATCTTTGTTGTTATTTTTTGTTACTATACTATTTTCTAAAACATTTTCACCAATTTATAAAAATATTTTGTCCGCACTAAAGCAATATTATTTGAAGAATATTTCTATTTTGTTTCTATTTGAAGACCATATTGTCAGCAACTAATTGCTCTTATTGTTCTACATTTTATGCCATACGATATAGTGTATTGGAGAAGCCAGTGTTGTGTTTTCGTTGTGTTGTCGCGTATTTCATAAATTTTTAAATAGAATTATTTTAAAATAGAAATAAGCAACAAGGGATGATATTTGTTGCTGGCAAAGTAACACAAGATATAGCGTATTAATACAAAATTCCTTAATACTGTTTGAGTGAAAATGCAGCTTCAGAATTCACTTAAAATTATTTGTTTAAATCTTAAGATTAGATATTTAAATTATTATAAACTATTACTCATAATAATAGTAATTATATGTGTATATTTTTAGGATGTATATATATGTATATTTTTAGGATTTGGAAAGTACATATGGAAAGAAAAATCGAAACTTACTAAATTAAAATTTTTTTTATAAGTGAAGAATTAACTACATTTTTTTAATACCGATCAAAAAGTTGTCTTTCCAAAATAAAAATAATTTATTTTTTTTATTTTTTATGTTTATATCTATTAAAAATAAACTAATGATAGCAATATTAAAAATATACATTTTTTATAAGAATTATGGAAAAGTTGATGTACAGGTACATTTATTTGAGAATAGTGGAGTGTTTTTCTGCCATGTTATCAAAAAAAAAAAAAAAAAAAAAA